GTTACAGCGGTGCTGTATTGGAGCTGGCTCAAGCACAGGCAGCCAGGCCCCGCTGAGGGAGAGAGGCTGCAGATCCCGATGGTGCGCCCGGGACCCTTGCGTGCGCTCATCGAGTTAGCCAGTTGCTTGGACATAGATCCATCCCTAAGGCAAACTGCAAAAGGCTTAGGAAGGTTTTGAAAGACTCCAGTAATGACCTCATCTTTCTGTGTATGAACATCCTCATTCTTGGTGAAACTGAGTTTTCTGTGCTTGGTCAGTGAAAATCAAACTAAGCAATGTAAATGAGTCGTATACACCAGATCCTTGCTGTTCTCCTTTTGAGTAATGTAAAATAATATTACAGTCGGGTTAACCTTCTTGTTTGCATAACTCAGCCCCACTAAGATCATATACCTAAACTTTGCTGTCTGTAAGAAAATGAGTCAGTGGTATTATTTTTTACTAATAATTAGACTTTTAGCTAACTAATTCCTAAAGTATTGATGGCCACGATAAAGCATTTCCATTTACTTACTTAGCAATGTTGTGGTGGTCACTTCTGTTGCTGAAAGCATCACCCTTGGCTGGGCCAACTTAAGGTCTCTTTGTCCTAGCAGTTCTGTATTGAGTGTAGGAAGTATATTCTTTGTGTATGCTTTAGATTCAAAGTGAGTTGTTGACAGAAACTGCTACCAGTTTGGTTTATCTTCATTTGCTACTGAAATCCATTAGAGCACTGTATGAGTTTGGATTTCAGTCCATGTTCTCAGCCCGAGAAGAGTTCCTTTTTGTGGGCCTTAAGTCAGCCTGTTGTTTTCTGCTGAACTGTGTTGTAGCTTGCTTGTAGTCTCATGCTAAAACCTGCATTATCTTAAAAAAAATGCAGGCCATTTTGTCTTGAAAGTTAAGGAGCTCTATGACACTACTGTAGAGTATTTTTCTTAGGTATGTACTATTAGCTGGTTTTGGAACTTCAGAAGAAGCTGCTGTAGGCTCTGAGAATGGATGTCTCGTAGATGCCTGCGTTAATGATTACAGTTTTGGAAACTGGCATAGCTGAATAAAATAGAGGCAGAGCAGCCTATTTGTTAGCTGACTTAGTGTTACAGGCTGCCCGTGTTCCTATTTGTACTTTTCAGCAGCGTGCTACAAAAACTGATCTTTGTCAGCCCTTTTTTAATCCCATTGTATTTGCCAATTTCTCCAGCCCTGCATTTGGAAGGAAGCTAATCCCAGAATATCTGCACAGCTGAGTGCGTATCTTTTATCCTTGCATACACATTTCCTCTCTGATCCTCAGCTCCTCTTAATCACCCCGAGTGTTCAGGAGCAGCTCTTAGCTTTGCATGTGTGCAGGGGGAGGCAGCTAGCCTGCCATGTGAGAATCAAGTGCTGCCTTCTGTCTTTCGCACCTCTGAGCTACTGAGTCATCATTCCATTTTCTATGCATATATATGCATAATGCACACATAATGCAGTTAAATTATTATCCTCGTGGAGACACATGCCATCAGATAGTGTCCTTTTGATTCACACTTCTGTGCCTGTGTACAGCAGCAGCACGCAGTGCTTAACACGAGCATCTGGTTTGATCCAGTGTGGAGATTCCCAAGCCCATTGATCGCTAGCTTCTGCGTTATCCAGAGGAGTTACGGATAAATCAGGAATGCTAATTTGATTATTACTGCTTTATTGTTTTTCCATCCATTCAGTTTTCTTTAATCATTACCGAGCACTTTCTCTCTTGGAGAAAGGAGGCTGGATACAATGCAGGTACTTGGAAAAACACAGGTGGGAACAATGCAGGTTTTTAGTCCAATTCTTACTAACCAAACTCCTTTTCACTTAGTTAATTTAAAGACGTGTCCAGTGGAGCCTCATTTGGGTGGAGAAATCCCGTTCTCTCCTGGCTAGGAGGAGCTAGGACTACTGCCTCAATCTGGCCAGCTAATCACATGGCATAAGCTGGTCTGCCTCATTGCTCTGGGTCAGCAAAGGGGCTTGGATGGTGGGATTGACAAGGTACATGGTATTCCCTGTGGGGGCATAGCCTTTAGGGCTGTTTGTGTGGGGGTCATCTTTGAGGAAAGCATACTAGCTTAGCAAAGAGGTCCTGTTCCCCAAAAGGAGGTCCTGTTGCAGATGCAGGTCATCTCCTGTGATCTGTAGTTGTGTGAAAGGGGTTTTTATTTGACGAATGCATGTTCTGTGCTTAGATGCTTTGACTGATAGCCTGGTCAAGATGAATTGTCTAAAATTATTACAGTAGAGTGTGTCATAATAGAGTACTTATTTTTATCTATTTTTTTCTCTCAGGTGTTGGTTTGACATTGCTTGAAACCCCTAACGTGCAATAAAATCCATGTGGTTTGCTTAGCAAAGCTAGACTCTGCAGGGAGACTTTTGTCACCACCTTTCTCCATCTCTTGGCAGGGAGATTAAATTGCTTACCCTCTGGCCTTAGCTGCTAAGGACTATGAAAGTAAGCCAATTAGGTAAATTAATCTTTAGCCAAGGTTTCTTGGGGTTTTTGTAGGGGTACCGTTAAACTTAGTTTATGTATGCGGCTGTAAGGATAGCTTAGCTGCATTGTTTATGAGGAACTTGGCAGAGCTTTGAAAATGGTTGTCAAGCCCCACAGGGTGAATTTGGGTTGTGAGGGACAAGAGTGGGTGGAGGAGAGCGAGAGGCAGTGTAACAGCAGAAGGATTTGTCAGAGGTGTCAGAAAAGGAGAACGGTGATGGATGTAAAAAAGATGGAGTAGGGATAAAAAACACCAAGGCATTTAAGGTGCAGAGGCTGAACAGGAGCAAGCAGCAAAACCCAGAGGGAAGACCCAGCTGGATCTGTGTAACTAAGATATGAGGAAGAGGTAATGGTCTGAAACATCTGAATATGATGATCAAGGAGAGGATGTGGAGGGAATGGGAAAACAGGCTAAGATGCAAGTAAATAATTTGAACTGCTGCAAAGAGACTGGTTTCCTTGTGGTTTGAGAGTGCATTTGACATAATAATGAGAGGAAAAGATGTGAGTTATTTTTAAAAAATTCTTCCCTTCAAGCATGCTGCAAAATACATTGAGCAATGGCAAAGCAAAGTTAGATTTCTTTTTAACTCTTAGTAGGAACAAAGTGAGGTAGTGACAGCTCATAAATGCCAGTGTACTGGAGAGGTTGGTGGTAGATAGGATGTAGTGGGTCGTTCAGTGTATCTCCAACAGCCGGTGCACTCACTGGATAACTCATAACCATCAGTATCCTGATGCTTTGCTCAATATGCTTAAACTGCTCTAAATTATTATTTCCCTTTGAAGTGGGAAGAGGCAATAGTTGCCTATATTTTCTTTGTATTTGTAGTAATTCGTATGTCACTGATGCATCTTTTTAGTAATTGTGCATACGATATGTGGCAGAAATTCGAATAAGCCTGAAACATGCGAAATGACAGTGAAGCGTGTGGTGCCTTTGGTGTGCGCTGATCTGCTGCTTCAGTCTGGTTGCAGAAAATAGGGTTGGGTTTATTTCTTTGTGGTGAGCTCCGAATTCAGTCGTAACACGATGGTGAAGCCTGGGGGGCAGGCAGACGTCTCTGCAAAGTGAGGGATGAGATGTCATCTCGGTTCATCCCTGCAGAAGGGCTCAGGGCAGCACTGCGTTCCCATTCTCTCCCGTTAGTGGCGTACGAGGTGTGAAGCACGACCTGTCAGCGTTGTCATGCTGCCGTGCAGAGGGGTATTGCACTTAAATACAGAGCTGACATCTGCTCAGGAATGTGAGGGATAAGGGAAGAGTACCTGAACTTCTGTGAAGAAGGGCAACGGATAGCTAGAGCATTGCATATGAAGCTGGGGTGATAATACATTTTTCCTACTTTGTGCCACATATTCTCAAGTCACTCCTCATCTCTGAAGTTACCATCTTGACTTTATTTTCTTCCTTTTTTTTGGTAGGCCAATAGTTGAGGATTCTGACTGTTTTGACTTTTTCCTGATTTTTCTGATAATCCCGATTGCCTCCTGCAGTTCGTGGTCTGCCATTCTTGGGAAAGATTAACCTTCTTTTGAAATGTATCGGGGAAGGTGGATTGAGTCAGAAGCCTCCATAATTCAAAGATAACTGAAGAGGTGATGTTTAAATGGATATTCTGCGACGCTCATGGTGGGCTGCAGGCCATTTTAAGTTACTGGAGTCTGTGTGACTCTTTAGTGTGTTCAGATATCATGGTGATGAGCAACCCTATCAAAAATGTAGGTAGAAGAACAGAGAAGTTTGGTTAAATCATGCAGCTGGAATCCTCTGCAATGGAAATCCATCTCCAGCTCTGTCAAAGAAAACTCAAGTGGCAATGGGCAAGTCACAGAATCACAGAATCCCAGACCGTTAGGGATTGGAAGGGACCTCCAAAGCTCATCCAGTCCAATCCCCCTGCCGGAGCAGGAACACCCAGATGAGGTTGCACAGGAAGGCGTCCAGGCGGGTTTTGAATGTCTGCAGAGAAGGAGACTCCACAACCTCTCTGGGCAGCCTGGGCCAGTGCTCTGGCACCCTCACTGAGAAGAAGTTTCTTCTCCAATTTCAGTGGAACCTCCTGTGTTCCAGTTTGTGTCCGTTACCCCTTGTTCTATCATTGTTTGTCAAAATTAGCTAATCTCTGCTTTGAGTCAGTCTCTGTGAAACGAGGATAATACTTCTCTACCACACGAGGCTATTATGAGGTTTGGTTAATACATATGTATGTGTAGTTGGCTATTACAGCGGTGTGTCATAGAAAGCATATAAAAATAGGTATAAATATAAGCCTGTTGCATGTTGGTATTTGTTTACTTCTAGGTACGCTTTGGCTTGAGACTGATTCCTCTTTCACGTGATCGTGTGCTTGTTTCCACGTTCCAGCACGGAGCTACGGGCACTGCTGGGCTTGCGCTCGTAATCGGTGCAAGTCACAGAGTTTTGGCTGACATCTGATAGTAGATCAGTTGACGATGGTCCTGTCTTATGGCTTCCTCCGCTGCAGGTGTACCAGTACTCGACCAGGAGAGACCGGAATGGACGTGACTAGCCGCTGCACACTCGGAGATCCTAACAAACTGCCAGAAGGGGTGCCGCAGCCTGCTCGCATGCCCTACATCTCTGACAAGCACCCTCGACAAACTTTGGAAGTCATCAACCTTCTCCGGAAGCACCGGGAGTTGTGTGATGTGGTGCTCGTAGTTGGTGCGAAGAAGATCTACGCCCACAGGGTGATTCTGTCAGCCTGCAGCCCTTACTTCCGAGCCATGTTCACTGGGGAGCTGGCAGAGAGTCGGCAGACAGAAGTCGTGATCAGAGACATCGACGAAAGGGCCATGGAACTGCTGATTGACTTTGCGTACACCTCTCAGATCACCGTGGAAGAGGGAAATGTCCAGACCTTGTTGCCAGCTGCTTGCCTTCTCCAGCTGGCTGAGATCCAGGAGGCGTGCTGCGAGTTCCTTAAAAGACAGTTGGACCCTTCCAATTGCCTGGGCATCCGAGCTTTTGCTGACACTCACTCGTGCCGCGAACTGCTGAGGATTGCTGATAAGTTCACACAGCATAACTTCCAGGAGGTAAGAAGCTAGTACTGCTGGAATCATGGTGTCAGACCTGTGAACGAGTCCTGCAAGAGCCTGGGCAGCTCTCATTTTGTGCTGCTTTCCAAATCCTGCCTTTACTTCTGCTGTGTGTCCTAGTAATGATGGGTGCCAGCTGTTAGCTGGGGAAGAAAGAGAGAAGAGGTACTGGCAGGGCAGCCTTTGGTTTGCATGTGATCTGCGGTGTTTCTTCTCTTAGTTGTGGTGAGTGCTACATGGAAGGCAGGGTCACAGGCATGGCTGGAGTTTGGTATTATATCTGACGTGGGTGCACAATGGTGCAGCATCCTGCTTCCCTTTCAGAAGTATTCTGGATTCTACAGAGTTAGAGGGGACACGGGTGTTAAAGTAAGGACCATACATCAATGGAACAAAAAAAAATTGAGTTCGGGAATTGGGAGTGTGAGTGTGTGGGGGAGCATACAGCTGCCTCAGCGGAGCCTTCAGCTCCCTTGCTGTAGCAGAACCGGGGTTTTGCATCTATTATTTAGCAGAAGTTGTTTGAAAGTAATTCAGGTGTATAATTTTGTAGCTGACCTTTTTAA